GTGGGAAGGGGTGCCGAGGTGTTGCGCTGGGCAAGCCAATTACGCTCGGCCCTCATAAACAAGTCTGGGCATGCAAATCGTGTTTGCACACAGGCCCGAGTGCAGGCGCACATCTGTGTGTGGGCCCTGCGTGCACATGGGGCTCTTCCCCCGGGGTGCGCTGTGCCCTGGTGACCAGATCTGCCACAGCCCTGGATGGCGACTGCTCAGGGTCTTTGGATCTGCAACCAAAAAAGGATGGCATCCTCCCTCCTGGACTAAAATAATGGGACCAGGGGGAAGGAAGCAAGAGGCGAGGTGTAGGGAAGAGAGAGAGACCCCTCCAGAGCTGCCGAGCTTGCCAGTTTCACGGCTGCTCTGGTGCCTGGGTTTGGGGGCTTAATTGATAGGCTGGGAGGTCGCCCTAACCCTCTAGCCTGCACGCTGACACCAAGCAGAGGTCAAGCACACCAAGGAGGCAGGACTGCTGTTCCCAAGACACAAGCCCTTATCACTCTCCTACTTGGATCAGCGAAAGAGGGCAGCCAGCGTCCCAGCAGAAGTGCCGGGTCACTTGGGGGAGTCTTCCTTCCCCCTGTGCTCAAGGATAGTGGAAGGAAAAACCAGCTTCCACCCCAGGGACCCAGAGGCGAATAACACTGTGGTCTGCACAAGACAAAGGGGTGGTTTTGTGATAAGAATAAACCATAGGCTCCTTTCAGTTCCTTCTCGAGGTAAGAAAAAGGAGCCAGATCTCTTGGCATTAAAAATCCTTTCAAGCCCAGCCGGGCGTGGCTCAGCAGTTGAGCGTCGACCTAGGATCTAGGAGATCGGGGTTCGATTCCTGGTTAGGGCACGTGCCCAGGTTGTGGGCTGCAGCCTATCGATGACGCTCTCATCATTATTTCTCTCTCTCTCTCCCTCTCCCTTCCTCTCTCTGAAATCAATAAAGACATATTTAAAAAAAAAAATCCTTTCAAATAATCGACGATTTTCTAACATGCATCACACACCTAACATAAAACCGAGGCTCAAAGCAGTCACATGATTTCTCCAAGGACACTTGGTGAGTCAGCACCTGCCACAGGGGTGAAGCGACTTGCCCCAGGTCCCATAGATGGTCATGAGCCGAGTGGGGCCCAAAGTAGGTGATATTTGTCCCTGAGCCTGTGCAAGGCCCCTGTGAGCAAGGTGCCGGGAGGGAGTCAATGGTGACCATATGCCAGCCTTGTTCTCAGGGGACCCTCACCTGGGGGAAGAGTCCCCTTCTGCCCTGG